TTTACAAATAACATCCAACATAATTTTTCTTTTTTTTTTTCTATATTATTTTTACTGCATTAATTCGTTCAAAAATTTATCTGCTTTGCTGTTTGCTTTTGTCGATGATCAACGACAGTCGATGATAACATAGCTGCTGAGGTTGACAAAGTGATAACAGAAACTGAAGATTGAGAAACTTCAAATTGTCCAAAAGATTTTTGCAGTTTTGCTATTGCTGCACTCCCTTCCACTAATTTTGTTTCCATTTCTATGCTTTTTGAAAATGTTGCAAAAATTGCAAAAATTTTAGCCAAGAAATCAATCTATTACCTTCTTCACCTCTTTCTTTTTTCCCCCTTTCCACATTTCTTCCCCTTAACAATACAATTTTTGCTTTTTTGGGTTATTATTATTACGGCATCTTTAATCACAAAAATAATTGTCTGATGATTATGATTGAGCAATTAAAATTACACTTAACTTTAACCGTCTTAATAAAGCATTTTTTCAAGTAATATAGAACCAAAAAAAAAATCCACAAAACGATAATCAATGGTGATGATATTATTTATGAATAGCTTATACCATGTGCTAAACTGCATCATGCATAGCTAAAATTCCTCCTTTCCTTTTTGCATCTTCATAAACAAAATAAACAAAGTAAAATTAGCATCTGCCATAGTTTTCAAGTTCTCTCTTTTTTTCAGCTATCTTTTCTTCTGCTAATTAAAAAAACTACTTTTTTCTTCACTGTTATTAAAAAAACAAAAAGCTACAAAAATAAGCATCTAAAAAATCACTTAAAATGCCACTGATATCGACTGGTCAAATGAGCTAGGAAGCAATTTAAGAGAAATATATTGTCAACCAGTTAGCGAATTTGCAAGTGTTCTTTTATACGAGAAAACTGTCGCTTACTCATCCAGGATTCATATTAATAGAAGCACTAATTTATATCTGCAAATCTAGACTGAACTTAAACAGTCACAAATAAGAGTCATCAATCGTCGTGCCGCTACACAACACTAGTCATAATATTTCAGTTGCATAATTGTCAAAAATGTACTCATTTTTTTGTTGCCTTCAATAAATCTAATGCATAAAATTTTACCACTGATATTGTAATCAAAAAATTTATGTCAAAAAAACAAAAAGTTTTTCCACTACAACAATTTAGTAAATGTTTGAACCTATAAAAAGAATTAAAAATCAAAACAATATATGTTAGCCAAGAATCGTGAATTCTAACGAAGCAAAACTGACAAGTAACCAGTAGCACTACGACACTGTCATCTAATAACGATGTTTGTATCAATTTATAAATCACCTAAGAAATAGGTTTAAAAACCGTTTTTTTTTTCAAGCAAGTAAAGAAAATAATAAAAAATATAGCCTTTTAACGAAAAACGTACAAGTTGCTTTGAAATCCAAAGAATAAACAACTAATATCACTAAAAATAGCAATTATTTTACTTCAAAAAACAGTAAAAAATATATTGTGCTCTTAACTGACATTTAGTCAAGCAAAAAAATTCTAATCTAACGTTAATTTTCAGAAATACCTTCAAGAATACGGGTATCTGGCTGATCACCAGATGTCGCTGAAGAAAGCCATTAAGACATTCCAACAATTTGTTGACCTCCCAGTAACCGGTTGTTTGTTCTTCTTCCGATTTAGAATCAATTGTCCTCATTGATTCAGCAAACTTCCAATAGATCATCTTTAACCTTTACTGATTTGCAAGAAAAAATACTGCTTTGGGATCAGTTTCTTCTTGCCGAGGAAAAACTATCAGTTACAAGATCGTGACTGAATAAAAATTTCATTCTAATTTAAACACTAATATTTAGGTTAACGTATACATTGAACTTCGATCATTTGTCAGTCTTTACTGCTAGTCTACCCAATAAAACTCAACATTCTAATAAGTATTAAAAAAAATGCTAAAACTAAAATTTTGAGTGAAGAATTTTGGCAGTGAAGTGAATTTAAATATTCAGCCTGAATTGCATTACCAAAGTTTGATTGTCTAAAGCATCTAGCCTGTTTTAGCTTTTAAAAGTATTATAAATGCAGTATTTAACTAAATACTACGCTAAACTCTCTTCGCTACAGTATATAATACTGCCACCTTCAAATTATTAATGAAATATGTTATTCAATTTTAAATACATTTAAGGGACGCAAGCAATAAGAAAAAAGCTAAATTTTAGGAATGCTGGACCTAAAAACTCTTGAAAAAATGCATCAACAACGCTGTGGAAATCCAGATGTTGGTGACATTGAAATCCAAAAAAGAAGCAAAGATGTTCGTAGAAGGAACAAACGCTATGTTCTTGAAGGTTGATTTCCACTTTCAAACTATGCTAGAATCCCATTAATGTAAAACAATTATAGTAGTAAACAATGTTTTTAAATAGTTCTTCAATCACAAAATCAGTACAGCCTACCAAAACCTAAATTACTGTGCAACCAGATTATTCAAATTACTTATTACTGTAAATAACCATTAGTTAAAATGTAACAAATTCAGATTCCTACCCTCAAAACAATTTTGTCGCACTGCAAGAGTATAAATCACCCACTGTACCTTTAATTAACCAATGTTCCTTAATTTCATTTAAACTTCTCCTTTTAGGATCATTTTGGAGTGGTAGCAATATAACATACAGAATTATTCGTTATACAACTTCAATGAACAGACACAGAGTACGGTATATACTCAAAAAAGCTTTTAAAGTAAGGTGTTCCCTATCAATTGAAAAAATTGTCCGATAACACTATTTGACCAAAATGGTTTCAGGTTTGGGCTGAATATTCAAATCTTAATTTTATTCACAGAGCTAGAGGCCGACCACATATCGAAATATCCTTCTTAAAGGGTCCGCATGGTGATGACGAGCCCTTTGACGGACAAGGTATTTGTTTTTAAACATAATCTGAACGCAACTCTCACGAAAGTGCCTGCTTATGTCAAAAAGCTGCTCACTTATTTTCACTCCTTGCCTTTTGGCGGACCAAAATTTACCAATTCTGGCGATTAGGTCAAAATTTTGTTAGATGCCCATCCAAATTCAAAACCAGCTTCAAATTTTGTATAGAAAAGATTCTTTTTTTTTAAAAATTTATACACTCTTACAGTGCGATAAAGTTGTTCGGCAAAATGCTGTGATCTCCAAGCAAAGCACTAGAATTCAAATTACTAAAGAAATTTTAGGTCAGATTCTGGCACATGCATTTTTCCCTCGTTTTGGAGGAGAAATTCATTTCGACGACGATGAATGGTGGAGTCCTGTAAAATATTCGCGTACGTTTATTCTCCAGCAAGAAGAAATCAAAAATGACGTTGACTATTTTCAAATCTAAGCAACATAAAGCTCTTAGCAGTAAAAATTCATTGCTTTAACCAATCTGTTCTATGAAGAGTTTTTCACGAACACAAGGTGGAAAAAGTAATCCTTTCAAAGCTGAAAATGATAATTAGTAAGGGCATATTATGTACGCATACGACATCCCTCAAGTTCCTCCCGCTATTCAGCATACAACTTTAGCACAAGGGATTGACTTCTATGCAGTAGCCGTACACGAAATTGGTCATGCACTAGGATTAAAACATTCTGAGAACCATCGTGCAATAATGGCTCCATTTTATCAAACTTACAAGGGAGACACGATTCATTTGCACAGGTATAATTTTTCGCTCTCAATATCTAATAAAAAGCTTCCTAAAAGCCATAACCCAGAACCAGTATATGAACACGAGAAGAGTAAGAATGCATTTGTCTGTACACAAAAGAATTGGAACACCAATTTAGAGATGACATTCGTGCAATAAATCATTTGTACGGGACATGGGATAACAAAGGAGCGAATCTTGAAGAAGAGAAGGATGAATTACCAAACATCTGCACAGACGCTACTATTGATGCAATAACCATTCTTGGAAACCAAACAGCTTACGTATTCAAAGGTTGGTTGTTATATATGGATTACACGTAAACTAAGCAATTACCTTCTCAAACTGAACATTTTTTACACAGACGGCTATATAAGCTGGCGTACTAGACATCAGCAAAGGAAAGAATGTTTGAACTTAAAAAGGTTTTTGACAAAAATTACCTTCCTTGCTGAATTTGTAAAAATAATCTTTTGAAAAATAAAAAAGCTGTTTTTAAGTGCATTAAGAGAAAAACAGTTCTTCAGTAATGTTAAATTATTGCCTTTTTGAAAAAACCTGCTAAAGAATAAACTCATTAACTATCAAAGAAAAAGAAGTTCATAGATGAGAGGCTATAAGAGCACCCTCATTACTATATTACTATTACTACTTCTATTACTATTATTACTACTATAACCAGTACTAGTGCTACTATTATCACTATTAATATTACTGTTACTGTTACTTTTACTATTACTATTACTATTATTAATATTAATATTATTATTATTAATATTACCACTACTATTACTATTATTATTATCACTATCATTACTATTATTACCATTACTACTATTACTATTACTATCAATACTGTTATTACTATTATTGTTGCTGTTCTTATCATTGTTGTTATTACTTTTATTATTATTTTTATTCCTTACTCTTATTTTTAATTTATTTTCATCAATAGTGATGATAATAGTAGTAACAATAACAGCAATAATAATGGCAATAAAAGTAAAGCACTGCTTAATTATGTAGCGTAGATTCAGGCCTCTACTACTGGCGGCTCAACAAACATGCAACTGAAAAAGGATATCCAAGAATGATTGCAGATGACTGGAACGGAATCACCGGTCCCATTGATGCAGCTGTAACTGATCGGGATGGTGATACATTCCTATTTGAGGTGAGTTTCAAAAACAGCTGAATTTTTAAAATTGATAATTCGAAATTCATAATAACTGAAATTTATCAATAAACAAAAGTATTTAGTTGAGCATAAAAGCTACTTACAGGGGCCGAAGTACTGGGTTTTGGACAAAAATGGACAACTTCGAGGCGGGTATCCTAAACTGATATCAAAAGGCCTCAAAGACATGCCGTCATATATTGATGCAGCAATGATGTGGGCTTATGACTACCAGCCGTATTTTTTCCGAAGTCCGTTTAGCAGTCCAGTAACTGAAAATAAAAACTGTATAATATACAACTCTTGAGTGTCTCAACAACAGTGACAGCAAAACTGTTTGCAAAACTCAAAAGCTCTAAGTTATGAGACATCTGAAGCTTTAAAAGCTATAAGACTTACAGGCGACAAATACTGGAGATATTCAAGGCGTGGAATGCCCAGAAACTATCCGAAGTCAGTGAAATCTATATTCAAAGGATTCAAGAGACAGCCAGATAGGATAGATGCAGCAGTTCAATGGTACGACGGAAGGTCATATGTTTTTGCAGGTCAAGAGTACTACAGATTAAATGAATGGAAGGTACTGCGTGCAGCTCACACTTACCCAAGAGAAACAGCCAACTGGTGGTTCGGATGCGATGGTCTTAAGCATGTTCAAAAATAACTGCTACTGATGACCTGCCACTTCCTTCACAGCTAACAAGCCGTTTTTGAGCAATGATATAAAACTACGGTGTCCCCGGATATAAGTCAATGTTCGGTTCTAATCCTCATGTGAAAATCGTGTTTGTATATAAAGACGTTATCAAAACCGACTTGATATTGGTTACAGAACCAAATTCATACAAAGCACATTACAAACGAGACACAAAAACGACATACTTACAATACCAAAATTAAAACCTAAAGCTGTAAATTGCAAACAAAAAAATCATTTTTTCATGATATGCAATCAAAAAATAAAAAGTTGACTACGCAGAAATCCTGCAGAACTCTTTTAACTTTTCTTGCAATTAATACAGATTTCTAAATCTGTCTAAGATTTTGACTAGGTGAACTCTATACAAAATTATAGTAAAGAAAAGAGAACGAGAAGCGCTTTGCGCTATTTTGATATAACACATAACAAAACTAATACAAATAATGACGCTAATTGTATCTCAACTTCTTTTTTATCGAGAGTTAACGGGAAACCTTCGCCTTTTTGACATCATTTGCTTGCGAACCAAAAAAACGTTATGAATGCCCTGAAACAATTTTTGTAAGTTGCCGTTATGCCTCAAGTACATAAGAAGAAATTCATAACTACGAGTTTGGC